AATGGAAGCAATGAAGGGCAGACTGGCAAATCAGTACTACCAGAAAGCAGAAGAGGCTTGGGCGATGATGGAAGAATGAATTGCAATTAAGCAGTTCTTGTATATAAACTTTTTTTAAAGACTTACTATGTTTGCAGCTAAAAAGATATATTTTTGTGGCGTTAGCAGTTTTTTGTACTTCAGTTTTCTAACGTCTTTTGAAATACAAATGCAGCTAGGATGTAGGTTACTATAGCGTATTTCTGTCAAGTGTTTTAAAGCTGTAGAACAGACACTCTTGACCTTTTATATAGCTATATTTTAACTGTTAGAACAGAGGAGGCTGATTTTTTTTAACTTTTTTTTTTTTAATGAAAAGTGAAGCCGAAGACTGCTTGGGTTTCACATGTCCTGCTTTATACTCAGCAACTGATCAGTGTGTTTACATTTTTCTTCTCCCCCCACATACAGAATAAATAACCTTTCCTACATTCACAGCATTTCTTCATTGTTGGTGTATCTCACCAAACTTGCATGTGAATGTAAATGTGCAATATAAGCACGTGAAGCCTGCAGCTCCTCTTAGTAACTCGTCCCATTCTTTCAGTGGGCACTGGTTTATTCTCAGATTAATTCTAGACAGAATCCTTAGAGTTTGGAGAGGGAGAGGAAAAAAGGTGTCAGGTGAGGTTATTCAGAGTGGAATATGTGTTATTGCCACCACTGCACATCTTACTATCAGAAAAACACCAGTGATCCTAAGGAGGTGAGGCATCCAGCTACCTCTCTCATTTTCACACTTTGTACAGTATAACAACCTCATTGTGTAGAATTCTACTGATCTCATGTAGTAGTATTTGCCCAGTGATTTACAGTAGCATGATCTGTACTATATGGGTAATATATAGTTAATTTTACAGAGACATCTCAGTTCTCAGCAAAGAGAGAACATCTCACTTCAAATGAGAATACACTTTCCAGCATTTCCAGAGGGATATTTGTAAAACTTAGGCAATGTTGATTTACCTATGTCTATGTTTAGAAAATAATTTATCTGGTTTAAATGGCTTTGTGTGTTTTACCTGCTCTCTTATGATTCATATAATAACTTCACATGATGCTTTGATAGATTTGAGCTGACTGATGAAGGATATATGCAAATATGTATGTAAATTTCCAGATTATGTTGGGTAATTTATTAAATACTACCATATGGTACAGAGCTTATTTTCCATAGTATTAGCACAGGGGAGTTTTCACCTGACTTTTAGCATCATCTCCTGTAATTTACAACTGAACTTCCTAGAAGGCCTCTGTTCTTCAGAAGAGATCAAAAATGGTTTAATGGTTTAAAGTGTCAGTTACAGAAAATTGCTCATTATAAGGAGAAAACATTATAATCCCCAAACACTTGAATTCCTATATCTTGTCGGCATAATCTTAAACCATACATGGTGGTGGTTGCATTATCATGGCATGGAGATTTATTTTTTTTCTTCCCCAAATCCAGTATTTTATTCTAAAAACTGCAGTGCTATACAGAGAACATAGCAGCTCTTGCTGTTTCTTATCTTGGCTAACAGTCATTTTGCAGGAGATAAACACAAAAGCTTTATGGCTTGTTGGTGCAGCAGTCTCCTGAGGACATTTCCTGGGATGGAGAAAGGGCAGCCCTTAGGAATTGCTGAGTGTCTGTAATGCATAGCCAGCCTCACTTTAGCAAAGCTTTTGAGCTGTAGAACTGAACAGGCTGCATGTTGATGCAGTTGATTTCAGTGGAGCTCCTTGCGTGCATATACAAGGACTATTGTAAAATTTAGAAACTGGTCAGGATAGAGAAATTCATTCTTCCTTTTCTTTATGAGTGTGCTTGTCACTGGACCCCAAAGCTGCACTCCCCATTTACTGTTTCTGGCAAATGGATCTTGAATTGTTGTTAAACAATGTCAAAGCATGATGCTAATAACTGCAACCATCTGTGGATGCTTTAAGTGCCTATCCAAGTTGTGCTTTGAGTGCCTAAAGCCTCTTGGATGTGGCCTTTTTGCTCTTTCATATTGTTTAATTATTACTTGGTGATGAAGGGTGGATGTGCCATTCACCTCTGCAGGTGGTTGAATAGTGAGTGTTTTGTGCAAAACTTACAGTGTAGGCATGGTAACAAGTGGAGACAAAAGGTTTTGTTTTCCCTGTAAGGTGTTGGTGTCAAGAGTTTGAGGTTTTCCTTGAGAAGGAAGCAACAACCCCAGCAACCATGCAGGGAGGAGAGGAGATTGAATGCGACTGTCCAAAATGTGTAAGTAAAGGACTAGAGAATAATTACTGACACTTTTTGATGTAGTTTAATTTGCTACATTCAGTAACTGCTGACAGTTCTCTGTAGATCTGATATGTAAATGTCCACATAGCTCAGTGAAAAAATACCATGATCAATAATTTGTTTGCCAATACTTGTTAACGTAGACAACCTTCAGTCCTAAGATGGTATCATGTTATTTAGCTATACAGTAGGGAGGGCTGACAGGAATTTGAAAATTAAAATCGTTTACAGAAATATGCACAATTTATTCTACGAGGTTCTTTTGAAGATAAAGAAAACTGTATTGACAGACTTTTTGAATGATACTGCTCTATGCTGTATTTTTAATCTATTCACAATGAATAAATAAAGATCTGTATTTTTTAAAAATGTGAGAATAAATCTCAAGGCTGGGCCTGGTGAAATTTATCTGGGTGCAGTGCTTCTGAATGTCAGTGAGAGCACAGCTTGGGTAAGGACAACACAATGAAATCCCTTCTTAGTACAGCAGACATGCAAATACCAGTTACTGCATCACTCCCTGCCCTCTCGCGTCGTCTGGTTTCGTTCTGACTGGTCACTGAAGTTGTTCTGTCAGTTTTCTCAGTAGAGTTTTTAAAATGTTCCAAAGTTCAGTTTTACTCTTAGAAGATTCCAGAAATCGTGTTGTTTTTCCTGTTCAATCTGTGTTTTCTTGCACTTCCAACAGTGGAAATAGCTGGGAGAATGTTACTGAACGTGTAACAAGGAACTCTGTTTCTTTTTTTCAGGAAAGGTGAAAGGGTGATGTGCTGTTGTCTTTGTGTTGAGTTACTCTGCTGTGTCTATAATGAGTACATGATAAGATGTAACAAGGGAGCAGTTCAATGCTTACAGACCCATCTTTATGGCTCAATGTTGAGAAAAGAATGGAAATATTTGGCCTGGATGATAGGAGGAAGAGTTTTTTGTGACAGGTGCAGTAGCTCATGATGCACTATCATCCTCAGTATGGCTTGTTCCCCATTCTCTTCAAGAATGAACTTATAGGAGCCCTTTTAAACTATGAAAGCTGGAGCCTTTATATTGCTTTTGCCTTTTTGCTTTTTTGCCTTTGTATGGGTTTAATGGGAAAGGTTTAAATGATGTGGCTACAATAGGTTATACAATATGAAATTGTTCTCCAGTATACCTTGAAAGAACAGAACAACCAAGCCCTGGGATGCCTCTTCATTCTTACAGAGATGAAAATGGTGAAGTTCAGCCAGCAAGTCTGGTGCTGGGTAACTGAAACAGGAAAGCACAACGGTTAGAGCTTATGGACACAGCCAGCACACTATAGGAATTGAAGGAATTGACTGACACGAACCTCACTCTTCTCCCTGCAGACCTGCATTCCCTTCTGAGAGCAGCAGGACAGCCAAGACACAGGTAGTGCAGGTGGGCTGAGTTGAGCTGAACTGGGACTTCTCGCCCGTGTTGTAAAAGGGAGGATTTGGATCCAGCCCTCGGCTGGATTGCAGCGGTGAGTGGGGCTGGTTGCAGGGTAAGCACAGAGATCCACCCTTGGGGACCAGAACACCGGGGCCAGGCCCTCGGGCTGGACATCATTAATACGAGGGGTGGGACCTTGCCTGCCTTGCCCAACTCCTGTGTCAGTATAATGCAAAGCAATATAATGAGGCAGCTTGAGTTTTCCAGAAGGTTCACCTTTAATTTAATGGGAAAAGTCCCGTCGTTATCACCTTACAGTCGTGGCAAAGATCCCCTGCACACCTCCATGCCTGCGTTCTGCACAGGGAAGGGACATCGGGGCCGCACTGAACAACTTTCAGTCCTTCACACTGCCGCAAGGGAGCGGGAAGAAAAACAGCCCAGTTAACATGAAGTCTGCTTTCTCACTCTTCAAATTAACCGAGTTTTAGTTTTGCAACAGAGAACTGAAATGCGTGTCACGCTTTGCCGGACTCTCAGCCCCGGCTCCTGCAGGCGCCCACGTGGCAGCTCAGCGGTCGCGGTGCCGCCTCGGCTCCGGGCGGATCAGACGGAGCTGCTGCCAGCGCGGTGCTCTGCGTAGTGAAAGAGGGCGCCGAAGGAAGCGGTAGTACGGCGGTAGCGTGGCCGAGCGGTCTAAGGCGCTGGATTAAGGCTCCAGTCTCTTCGGGGGCGTGGGTTCGAATCCCACCGCTGCCAGAAGTCCTTTTTCTCTTTTGCTCCGCCGTTGCCGCAGCGCCCTCTGGCGGCCGCTCCCCGCCACGCCGGTAGAGCATTGTGGGTAGGAGGAGGGCCGCGGTCCCACGTGCCGGCCGCAGTGACACCAACATGGCCGCCGCCTGAGCGCCGCCCGCCGCGCCGCGCACCGCCACCGGGGACCGGCGGCCCCGCCGTCCGCGCGGCGCCTCCGCCAGGTGAGCGGCCGCGGTGCCCCTCTCGCCGCTTTCGGGGCTGCGCGGGAGCGGCGTACGGCAGGGGGCGGAGGGGGGCGCGACCCGGGCTGCGCGGCTCAGCCCGCAGCGTGGGGCGGTGGGGGCGGCGCGGGGCGCTGACAGGAGCCGCCGGGCGGGCTTCGAGGGAGCGGACGGGGGTCCGGCCCGGGCCCGCCATCTCGGCTCCTCTCGGTCGGGCCGGCGCTGCCCGGCGCGGCTCTCCCGGCACGGGAGGCCCCCGCTGCTCCCGCCGGGCGGAGTTCCCGCACGACCGGCCGGCCCGCGCCCTGCGCGAGGTACCGAAGGGCGGCCGCGCGTGGCGCCTCGTCTCCTCAGCGCCGGCGGGAGCTCCGGCGGCGCCGCCTCACGGTGCGCGGGGAGCCGCGGATGACTGTGCAAAGCTCCAGCGGGGCACGGCGCGGAATTGGGTCAGCACCGCCGTCATCGCGGACGTCTGGAAGGTGCCTGCGCTCTTTTTGCGGCTCCGTTTTGCTGAATGCCGCGGCGCAGCCCGGCGCTGCCGGGGCCGGCCCTGGGAGGCGTCGGGCCGGAGGGCGTCGGGGCGGGGAGCGGGGCTGCTGGCTGCCGGCTGCCCGCCCGCACCGCGGGGACCCGGCGCGTCCTGCGTGAGAAGCGCCGGTGTTGGCGGTCGGGGTCCGTTACGGGCAGACGCGCACGCGGGTCGGTGCCGGCCGCCCTTCTGGACTCAACCCGAGAGGAAAAGGGTTCGGTTACTCCGTGGCGGTTTTACGCTTTTTTCGCCAGTGTTTCTTCTCGTTGCAGCGGGAGGGTGGTTACGGCAGCCCAGCCTCGGTCGTGCTGAGATTTGTATCTCCTGCCCTCCTGTGCTCCGAGGTCTAATGACTCACACTGACAACTTGCACTGATGCTGACATGCACAGGAAAGTCCCTTTACAAAGAAAGTGATCTCGCCAGAAGAAAATGTGAAACAAGTGCTCTTGTGGCCGTGCTTGCTACCTCCTAGAGCTTAATTCCATTCTGTTATTCCTGTGGGGTTCGTTTCTGTATCTGCCATGCATACAGCAAACTGCAGATGCAGAATTGCGTCTGTGTGTCTTCAGTGGAAGCTTCGTCCTGATCAGAGGATTCCTCACATGAATGTTGTGTAGGTCTGTCGCTCTGGTACTTCAGTGAAAGCACCTGCAGTCATTCTTTACTCTTAAGTGGTGAAAAACAATTATAATCTTTGTGATCTGACATTTTCTGTAAGTACTGAGCTGGATTCCCAAGATCTCATGTAAAATGGAAAGAGCAGCACTGGGTGAAGGACTAGAAACCAGGTCTTTCAGGTTGGGTTTCTCTTTCTCACCTTGGCCCAGGAAATCTGAATTTCTGTTTGGGAAAGTGAAATAATATTCTCAGGAGGGAAGGAGCAGGTGAGCACACACCCGGCCTGTGGGCTGCCAGGCAGGAGCAGGTTCCCCATCCCCATATAGGACAAGGACAGCACTCAGACCCGCAGCTCCCACCTCTGGGTCTGCCGTGTGCACACCTGCTGAGTGTGCTCCCAGGGCCTGCTCTGTTCTGAACAAAGGCCCCATTTTGTGCCAAGCTGCCTGCATGCTATATTGTACTGAGCACCTGGGGTGCGCAGAGCTGGAGCTGACCCATCTCACTGCTTGAAAAGAATGCAGCCATGGTTGTGCTTCTGGGAGCTGCAGAGTGCCCAGTGGTTATTGAGCCCAGTGACACATTTCTCAGATAACTGTATGCTGATGATTTGAGAAAACAGGTGTGTGTTGACATATACTGGGATGGTTAAGAGGTGAATTGTGTACTTGAAAAAAATCAGCACGTTTAGGGATGTAGCACAGATGCTTCTGCCTCTCTGTGCTCAGTCAGGAGCCAAGGCTGTGGTATATTACATAGCTGTAGGCAGGGCCAGCACACTGCAGGTGTAAATGCTGTCTAGTCCTGAGCACAGGGCTGACACAGGCTTCTTGTTCTCCTAGCTCTTAAACCAGAAGCTTTCTCCATTTCTACTTTAAAGGAAATTTCTCTGGGAAGGGAAGAAGGCTGGTGAACCGCATGGCACCATCCTTAGTGACTGTGACAAGTGCTGTGGCTATTTCAGAACTCAAGGCATGCTGTCTGCAAACCAGCTGCTGCTGGGGCGCAGTAGTCACACAGGGTATAAAGGGTGTGCTTCACACAAGTACTGAAGGCCTGTCCTTCCCTCTGCAGAGCTCTGCTTTAGTGCTCTCTCTGATGCTAACTTTCATCAAGGTTACGGGAACTTAGTTACCTTCAACAAACCTCCTGTTTGTTTTTGGAGTTGGTGGCAGTTGGTAGAGATGGTGAGGTGCGAGGGGCCGTGTTGTGCCAACACATACGCTCCTTCACAGCACACACTGAGTGCATTGCCACTGAAAAGAAAGTGGTGTACTTGAACAAATAGTCTGGGCTCCAGGTGGTACGTGGCGCAGATGTAGTGACTCATATGACATATCTGTTTTCTTTCAGATTGTGCCAAGGAATAAGCCAAGGAAAAGCTTTTTGTATCCTAGCATGGCAAATGAAGAAGATGATCCAATTATACAAGAGGTAAAAGTGCTTTGTGTCAGCAGTGGTTCTACGTGCAGCTTTTTTTGTGTTATTCAACTTCTGTTCTATTGTTCTAATTATAATTTTGATGAATTCATATCTGCTATACATGAAGCTGAAATGGTTTCATACCTTCTGCTAAAAACAAGCAGTTGTACTCCAATTTTGGACTTCCTTAAGGATCTGTTCCATCCCAAACAGTAGCCTGGTGTCCCATTCACTTTGTGTATGAATTCATGCACCAGAGGTATGAGCAAGGGCAAGCCTGTGGGGTTTGACAGAAGTGTCTCAGAAGGTACCTAAGATGGAAACGTGTGTGTGTGATTGTTGTGACACATCCGTGGATTTTAGGTGTTGGTGGCAAAGTGCTTGTATTAAATCCTATTTGGCATGTGGGTGTGTTTTGTCTAGCTTAGAAAGTTTTCATGGCAAAACACCAGCAAGGAAGTTAACTTTTCAGTCATGCTGCCAAAGAGAGAACATCCTCTTCTTTTCAGATTGTGATGATAGATACACTTCAGGCCCACAGATAAAAAAATTTCTTGTTTCATTTCAGAGGCAAAAATATGCAGCAGTGTCTCCTGCCTCATCATAGTTGTGCTGTTTTTCTTCTCTAAGAGGCCAGCTGCTATATTACAAGTCAAAATCAGCAGAGATGAAACCTTTATCAAAAGTCATGAGTGAGCTTTATATACAATTCATAATTAGAAGCAAAACTTGACAGTATTTGAGCTCTAGGGATTGAACTTGCATCTGAGGCTCCATCCAACATAGCTATTAACTGATGCAGGTTGTTTGTGTTGCTTTTTAGATCGATGTGTTCCTGGCCAGAAGTCTGCTGGAGAAGTTGTATTTGTTTCAGGTATTCCAGTTAGCTTTTATTTAGTGAAAATTTGTTTAAAATAAATTAATTGAAAGAGAAATAACTTTATTTACCTCTTACAGGGAACAGGCAAACCTGCATGCATCTCAGTTGAAACATTTAGTATTAAGCTATTTGTAAGAGAGGAGTGATTGTTTATGGCATTGACTTGTCATTAAATCACTGCCTATAGCCACCCTCAGGGAGTTATTTTAGTAGGTAATATCCTTATTGTGGTTTGGATAAATCTGCAGTCTCTTGGCCATTTTCTGCCAACGGCCAAGTTGGTTTCTGTCAACTTTACTGAACATTTATTTAGGACCCTTCCTGTTTAAGACAATGCCATCAGTATTTATAACCAGTGTGAGTCATCAGGAGAGACCCCCTTATGCTGTGGAGATAAAACTGATGAGTGATTAAAGGTGGAAATATGCTTGATATTTGAAGGTCTGTTTCCCATTCTGTTCACTGAATTTCTCTCGTCATTTTATCTTTGTGGTTCACTTTTCCTAGGTAGGTCTTTTGAGGCTGATGGATGAGATATTAATTATAAGCCAGTGGTGCTCTCTGGCATAGCCTCCTGTCCAGGTCTTCTGCCCAGCATGTGCAGCTTCATGAGGGGTTGCTCTGCACGTTCTGGACAAATGGTGGCTCCGAGCAGGCTGCTGGAAGACTTCATCTGGGCACCACACTGTGATCTCAGCATCCCCAAATAGTTCAGAACAGAGGATCATGTGGCTAAATGTGACTGTGTGTGGACCAGGTTGTGTAGGCTAACACTACTGGTGAAAACTCACATGTATTTTACTTCTAGATAAATAAATCTCCAGAGAGGTAATATCAGTTAATGGGTTCTCATGGCTTCTATCACATCCTTTTTCAGCTGGATTAATATGTTGTACCATTTTCTTGTCTTATAGCACATAGTGATGTGCTGGAGGCAGGAAATAGAAAAGAGTGAGTGACAGAGGGTGGAGGGGAAGGCTTTGTAACCATACTCTGAGATCTGATGATCTCAGAGATTAGAAAACTCGTTTATTGAGATCTTATAACCATCTGGAAAGTGGCTTTACATGTGAAGGGGCAGGCGGGGTTTAATTAATTTCTGTGAAATTCTGTTGTCTTTAAATTAAGAATTTTTATAAAATTGATATGTTTTCCAGTATCCAATTCGTCCAGCTTCTATGACATATGATGATGTTACACATTTATCAGCGAAGATAAAACCAAAGCAGCAAAAGGTTGGTCATCGTTTGAGTCCAGTCTATGAAACTTGTTTTATACTGTCTGCAGTGTGCTTCAGATCATTACACTGTGCTGCTAAGCTGTTGTAAGTGTGCAGCTTGTGGGACCAGATCTCTGTGCTTGGGCTGAAAAGAAGAATGGTTTATTAAGAGAGGAATTAAAGACACAATGGAAAAAACAGTATAAAAACAGAATCATTCAGGAAGTCTGGCTACTATTATTCAGTCTGTACAAGATTGATTTAAAAGACTTTCACAGTATTTGGATGAAGGTTGAGGTTTGAAGGCATGCTTTGTCTTTTAGAGTCATGTGTCTTGATTCTTCTCTTGCATGTCTATGAACCATCAACAGTCCTGTTTGAGAATCAGTGGGGTGGTGAAAGTATAAGCAAAGCCAGAATTGTCGCAGTTGCCTACAGACATATTCCAAAGCTGTAGCTGTGATTTGAAAATGTCTCACGTTAAAAAGTACAAAAGAACACAAATAGGTCTGTGATAGCAGGATATTTTTCTGGGAAATAATTGAGGAGAGTGCTTATGTGAATTTTGGAGTTAGTGTATGTTATGTTAAGGATTTTTTTTATTAGAATTAGCAGACATTTACGTTTTTAGGCCCTGTGCAGACACAAATCTACCATCACAACCAGGGATTGGTCACTAGTTCCGTTTACAAGTAACATGAAGGGGAAAAAAGCGAGGTGATGGCTGTAATTGATAAGTTTGATTGATGATTCATTTGGAGTTCTGCCATTGTAATTATTTGCCTTTTCCTTCACATTTTTTAGGTTGAACTGGAAATGGCCATTGACACTTTGAATCCGAACTACTGTCGCAGCAAAGGAGAACAGATTGCTCTCAATGTGGATGGCACTTGTACAGATGAAACAAATACCTATTCCTCGTAGGTGTCCTATTTGCTTTCGTTTGTTTCTGTGCTAGGCAGAGATATGTGTATGTCCATTAGGCCCATGTCCATCCACTCTTCTCTTAAATACCTTCAGGAATGAGGGCTCCGTCACTTCCCTCTGCAGCCCATTCCAATGCTTTGCTACCCTCTCTATGAAAAAATTCTTCCTGATATCCAATCTAAACCTCCCTGGCACAACTTGAGGCTGTTTTGTTGTGTCCTGTCACTCATCACCTGAGAAAAGGGACCAACACCTCCTCACTGCACCCTCCTTTGAGGCAGTTGTAGAGAGCGATGATGTCTCTCCTTAGTCTTCTTTTCTCCAGACTAAACAACCCCAATTCCCTCAGTCATTTCTCCTAATGTTGTTCTGTAGTCCCCGGCTTTATTGCTCTTCTCTGCACATGCTCAGTCAAGTCAATATCCTTCCTGTAATGAGGGCCTGAAACTGAACGCAGTGCTCAAGGTGTGGCCTCACCAGCGCTGCATGCAAAGGATCAATCACATTCCGGTCCTGCTGGCCACAGTATTTCTGATGCAGACTAGGGTGCCATTGGCCACCTAGGCCACCTGGGTACACTGCTGGCTCATGTTAGCTCCCTGCTGACCAGCACAATACTCTCGGGTTCTTCTCTCCTGGGCAGATTTCCAGTCACTCTGCCCCAAGGCTGCGCTGCTGCATGGGGTTGTTGATGACCCAGCACTTGCCCTTAGTTCATGTCATGTAACTGGGCTTGACCCATTCATCTAATCTAGGTCCATCTGCAGAGCCTTCCTGACCTCAAGCAGATCAGCAGTCTTGCCTTACTTGATGTAGTCTGCAAACTTAATGAGAGTGCACTCAGTGCCCTCATGCAGGTTGTCGATTAAAATGTTAAACAAAACTAGCTTTGTATTTAAAGCATTTGCTGATAGACTATTTTGGGAATTGGTGATTTCAGGCCTTTTAACATCTATATGCCACATTGCCTGTAGAATATAATCTTACAGCATTCATCTGTTTGCAGGAAGCTGATGGACAAACAAACTTTCTGCTCTTCACAAGCTGCAAGTAATGTTTCCCGCTATGCAGCTGCTGTTTATAGAAAAGGTGACTTTGTTTTGTTACCCCTCACATCAGTGAAACATATAAATTTCTGGGTTAAATAAGAGCTGTTTGTTCTGTGTTTCCAATAGCATAGGCTCATATTTAATTGAAGCTTTTCTAAATAAAGCGAAAGCTTTCCTTATGAGTGTCCCTGGAGTCCTCGAGGAGCTCCAGCAGTTTTAAATAATATAGCATGGCACTGTAGGTGCCTCCAAGATCTTAACGGTCCACAATGGCCTGAAACATACATTTACAGTAAAAAATTATTTTTCTTACTTACTCTCTATTATTATCTCTGTCTAGGCATGGCTGTTTTATTTGCCTGTTCAACACTTCCTGCCCTTCTTTTGTTTCCTACTGCCACTGCAGAGTTTTGATGAGAGGATCATTATAGATTGCCTACAGTGATGTCTGTTTCACTAGTAGTCTCCTGACAGATAGGTCAGATCTAAGCCAAAATGGGGCTCTCTGTAATATCTGGCTCCAACATTAATCAAGAAGGTAGCAGGAGAAGATCTTGATTTTTTTCATACTCCTTTGTTGTTCTATGCACTGGATGAATCACTTAATCTCTTTTTACTGTATTAAATATTTGTGTTCTCTGGAAGCTGTGCTGTTGCAGAGGTAGCAAGGTGATGAAAGTACTGTCTCTGTGCATTAGAAAACAAATACTTTTAACCAATATCAATTCTCTTTTTTAGGTGAACTTCACCTGACTCCACTGCATGGAATTCTTCAGCTGAGGCCAAGTTTCACCTACTTGGACAAAGCTGATGCAAAACACCGCGAAAGAGAAGCTGCTAATGAAGGTAAGTACTGCATGAGTTATGTTTCCTTTTTAGAGGTAGGATACGAATTCTCTCTATAATTTTATTCAAAGGTGTTTAATATAACAATGAACTGATTATAAAACCATTTCTCAGCCAGTTCTTGTCTCTGATCATATTTTCAGTGTAGTTGCGATAAGGTTTTTGTGGAAAGGTGTAGGGAACTGGCAGAGAGATACGAGACAGCGGGTAGTGTCAAAGGGCAGCAGTAGGAAGTGCCACAACAGCCACTGAAAAGCATCAGTGCCATGTTCATGGAAGCAGTTTCTCCTCTTACATGAGTGGTGTGGCACTGTCATATGCTGCATATTTTAGCAAGCTGTAGTTCCTATTTCTGCCTTCTTCCAGAATAGGCCTCCAGACAGTTACTTGTTGGCTCTGGTTGTTTTATTGCAGTCGTGGTCTTATCCTGTTGGCTTTTTTTGGCAGGTGGTGATTCATCCCAGGATGAAGCTGAAGATGACGTTAAGCAAATTACTGTACGTCCAGATTTCCTTTTTGTGGTAGTTCAGGCAACAGTTCACAAGAAAGCATGTCAATTCACACCCAAATAATTGAACAGGAAACCGCATCTGGTTCTGGTGACCCTGGGTTCAGAGGGGAAAAGCATTGCACAAGTGTAAAGATGACAACAATTAATTTGAGCTAGGACCACTAGCTTCTGTTCTCATTCTGCCAAATAGGTAATGGAGGTATTTTGTTTCAGGTGTTTTGGAGCTGTATTTAATGATACCCAAATCTTCTAGGTACGGTTTTCCCGCCCTGAGACTGAGCAAGCTCGTCAGAGACGTGTCCAGTCTTATGAATTCCTGCAGAAGAGACAAGCAGAAGAGCACTGGGTTCATCTCCATTATTATGGCTTGAAGGTAAGCGTTGGGCGCGATCGCTCAGCCAAATTAAATCTGGGTATGTGAGAATCGGGGAGTCATCAGAAGACAGTGAAGAAAAGTTGATCTGAGGCTTGAAATGACCCCACAGTGCTGTGAGCCTCTGCCACCGGATAGTGCTTTGGGATCTCCACACTGGAAAAGCTTTAAAATTGAGAATTGGACAAATTTAAGGCAGGGGGTGTTTAAGTCCAATAGTCATTCAGGTCTTAGCTTTGTAAAACAGTCAGGGAAGCCAGTCAGTTAAGTGCCATAAATCCTGTTTCTCTGACACAGCATGCATGTCAGGAGATTTTTGAAGTCACATCAACTGAAACGTTTCCACATCATATCTGCATCATTCAAGAGGGCTTACAGTACAGCATCAGTGAGATGGAATGCTTGAATAGCACTGGGAGAATGGAGCAGTCTCAGTTCAGAATAAGGAGTCTATCTGAAATTTTGTGTTCAGAATGTCAGTGATTTGTGCTTTTCTCCATGTCTCCAGGATAGCCGTTCAGAACACGAGCGCCAGTATTTATTCAGCCAAGGTCACGGCCTCGCTGAGAATACGGAATTAATAAAATCTCCCAGGTAAAGGTTTGATGCTTTTCTAGAGAAGGTACAATAATTTCTTGGGATTCCTTTCAGAGTAATAAGCAAATTTGTTCTTTTAAAATCATACCTTTGATACTGATATCCATGGTAGAAGTCCAATTGCTTAAAAAATAGAGACAAACTGGTCTTCAACTTCAGTTGCTTTCACTTGTGATTGTAGCCTTGTCTGTGTTATCACAACCCAGCGTTGTTGAGACTGCAGATATTGTAAGGGAGAAGTAAAACAAAAGCTCCTCCTGATTAAAATAATGGGAACTCTGAAGCCAACGACTCCCATTGTTAGAAACTCTTAGAGAACTTTATTTTGGTGATTTTTAAGAGACACCTGATACTACTTGAAACACGTTTGGTTTTGTTTCTTGCTGACTGCAGCTATGTATAGGAATCATCTGTGGTGCAGACAGTAATAATGTTTTGCTGTAAACAGATAGACCATGGTCCGAGTAATAGGAAGGTGGTGGACTGCCTCTCTCCTTAATGGTGTGGGTGTGTTTTTGTAACATTTAACATCTCAGTGGAGCAGTGCCAGGTGTGATGAGAAGTCTTTTGGATTTGATTCTTTCCTCTCAGACACTGGCAGTTATATTGGCAGGTCTAACTGCAGGACTTCGTGTGGCCCCACTTGCTCTGTGTCAAAGTACCACGTTTAATGTTTGCACTCTTGCAGTTCCTCTGTTTGGACACAGGAGAGTACAGGAGAGCAAGGATTCTGACTCCCGTCTATTTCATGCTTTTTCTTTAAATGGATGAATGTCAGTAGCTTTTACCAGCATTGAATTTGTGGAGGAAGATGAGAAAGGAAAGGGGAGGGGCTCTCTTTTCAGGCTGGTGTTTGTTTTATAGATTCTAATAAGTAGGATTGCTTTAAGTAAAAAAATAACTGTACTTAAACTTGGGAAATCTCAAGACAAATATTATAAGGATGTGTTTTCTTTTCTTGTAGTGAATATTTAATGATGCTCATGCCTCCAAGCGTAGAGGAAGAGAAGTAAGTGTACAGAATGTTCAACACTGATATTGTGTGGATGCTCTCTCATGAGCTGCAACTCACAAAGCTGTTGTTTATTTGCAGTAGCAAACCAGTGGCTCCAAGCAATGTGCTTTCTATGGCCCAGCTGAGAACTTTACCCCTTGCTGATCAGATCAAGATCCTGATGAAGAACGGTTTGTAATCCATTTGCACTTGTGACTTCTAATTGTCTCAGATAAAATACCTTTCCTAATAGTACCAGTTCTGTCGCTCTTCCAGACAGTGTCTGGATCTCAGATTCTGTGAAACAGTTAACAGCTGAATATTTGCTTGAGAAGGCTGAGAGTGCTCTTTGGGAAAGAGAAGAGCACTAGGTGGAACTGACAGCTGCTCTGTATGTTTGCAGTGCTCTCACTCTTAGAGTATTTTCTGATCTTGATGATAACTTTCAGAGTGCATTTATTTCTGCAGTTATCTCCTGGAATGTGAAGTCTGAGTATGGCTTAAAAGTTAATGCAACAGGCTGCACTTTGGCATTTTTTCCCCTGAAAGTTTTCAGTAATATGCTTCTTGAGTGTTTTATAAGCTTTATTCTATCTCTTGAGTTACTATCTAATGAGAGCAAATCCTGAGAACCTTAGGAGCTTCCTGTCTTGTCAGGTGTCTCTGTTTCCAAATATTGCCAAAGGAGTAGATTTTTTTTTTTTAATCCATGAATTAATTTAGGGCCAGTTAAGCTAATCAACTTTGTTGCAACATGAATGTGTATTTTTTCAACAGATAATGACTATGGCTTCTAAAATTTAGGCTTTGAATTTTTATTTTCCCCTCAGATACAGCTGTGACCTGGAATTTCAACATAAATATAAATCACAATATCCTAGAATTGAAACTCCGTTTTTATTTTGCATACTGAGAAAGCCCTTCATCTAATGTTTCTTTTGCCTTTCAGTGAAGGTGATGCCATTTGCGAATCTGATGAGTTTGCTAGGCTCTGGGACAGACTCTACAGCAGTTCTCCGCTGCATACAGCAGGTGGCGATGCTGGTCCAAGGAAACTGGGTGGTGAAGAGGTATGCCTTGTCTTTGTTACTGAGATGTGATTTTCTGCTGTAAGAAGAGAATTAGAACAATGGATTTTATGTTGTCATTTTCACTGTGTATCTGTGTTCTCAATTCTCAGTGCTGTGAGATACTCATTCAACATTCTTTGCTTTGTTCTGCAATAGGATAATAAAAATTCAAACAGGTGATGGCAGATGCCAGCACAGCCGTGCCCAGCCCAGCTAGAATTGTGGTGGAGCTGTGATGTAACCTGTATTTGCATTTGAGCTGTCAGATATTTGTTGTCTTCACTCGTGTTCTTTTGTGTGGGGACACTCCTGAATCCTTTCAGAGATTAATGTCAAATATAAATACATACAATGAAACAATCCCAACCGTTAGTATTTCTTAGCTAAATTCAGTCAGAGAAAGATCTTTGTGCAGTCTATTTGCTGTTTGTCAGGGGATGCTGCTCTTGTCAGCTGAAAGCATTACCTGCCTTCTAGAGACTACCTGTCATAAAATGGCACTACCTGTGGGGTACTGACTGTAGCACATGAAATGGATGCTGTGTTGTTCTCCTGTTTATTAGAACAAAGCATCTCACTGGGAGTTAAGTCTGAAGAGCAGTATGATTTATTTTTTTTTCTTTTCACCTGGGTGGAGCATTGCGTGCAAAGAATTACAGTGTGTGGAGTAGTTTTCTGCACTGAGATGTGTAGCACCAGTTACCAGCCTGTTAGCAGGATTCGTCAGCTGTTGTGATACAGGCCTGTGCTAGCTGTGTGAGCTGCTTCAGTCCTTGCTGTCCCTTCCAGAAGGCAGTGGGGTGCAAATTAAAAGTGTTATAGCACTCAGGGTGTTTTTATGTTGTATGTGTTTCTTTGCTGTTTGTCTGAGGAGTCTTTGTGTGTCTGTAGATGTAGCCTGTTAGGGATAGTTGTGCACAGAGCAGTGTCTGCGCACATCAGAGCTTTAAGTGAGGAGGCTGAGGAGATGAGGATTGAGCCTGGGTTGCCTCAAGGCTTTGGAGTCTGTAGAAATGAATGTCATCTAGTTGATCTTGCAAGCAGACCAAGACACCAGGGTGGTGGTAGTCCTGGGTCTGATTGGTTTGAGCATGAAAGCTCATAGCATTGTTCTCTTTAATCTTTGATTGCTGACAAGGAATTAAAAAAAAGCACAACACCAAAAACTCATTCCTATAGATCAGCATTTTGGCTAAATGCTACCTTCAAGGCTTAGGTTAGTCTCAGCATTTCTTAGGATCGTGTTGGTCTTGTTTACACTCATGCAAGGAAGGAAAGGCTTTGCAAGAACAAAGCAGAGCATGTACCTGTGTTGCACACATTACCAGTCACAAGGCTGGGCTTTGCTGGTGTAAGCACTTCTTGTACTAGTGTAATTGAAGCGGAGTAATTACATTAATATTCGTTCCTTTAATGAAAGCGATGCTTTGGATAAAGGTGTAAATTAACTGCAGAGCTGGGAGCACATTTGTTATGTTAATTTTCACCAATGCTGTATTTTGGAGAACCAAGTAGCTAATCCATCTTCCTTTTTAATTAACAGCGACGTGCTCTACCCTAAAGACACTTCCAGTCCGCATAGTGGAGTCCCTGCAGAAGTGCTTTGTAGAGGGAGAGACTTTGTTGTAAGTACAAAAGAGTTTGTTGTTTCTAAAGGAAAATATTGTTGAAGTTTGTCTGAGAGCCGTGGCATTATCAAACTTGGTTTCACATCCACCACTACTGCAATAAGATGTTTGCTCCAGAGAAATTATTTGCGCTGTAACCCTGGTGGTGGTGTTAAAAGTCTGGCATGGGAGTGTTTGTGTGGACTGACATTGTGGCTGTCTGGTAAGTTCAGATTGCTGGTCATTAACAGTAGGTGGTATTCATCTCTTTGTAATAGAACTTGTAGAGCTGCTATCACGTAGCCTGCACAATGCAGGGCTGACAGCGAAGCCAGGACTGGATAATGAAGTGTTTGTTTCTCCAGATACATTTCCGTGGGCTCAGGACTGCAAGGTCTCAGGAGGGCAGTGTGGTTAAGCCTTGTGCTCCCGGAGCATGCACTGTTGATCTTTAAAAAGGATTTTATTCCCCTGAGCTGCTAATCAGTGAAAGGACTTTGTTCCTAAGCACCTTCTGTGAGTGGTAGCTGCGTATGGAAGTTGAAATGAGTACAGGTCTCATAAACATGCACATAACCACAGAAGGGAGGAACAGCTTTGTTTCGTGTTTGTTTTTGCTAACCACGGAAAGAATTAGGTTCCTGAGTGCTTCCTAAGTTCATATCCAGTTTATGGCTTCCACCCCATTGAAAAGAAATTAACGAGTGCCTTGCTTTCATGTTTTTCAGTTAAATCTATGAGTTCCCCTTGTTTGCAAAGCCTGTTTATGAGATTTAGTCTGAATAGGAGCACACCGTGAAGGAGAACTTAAGGATATGGCAGCACTAGCATAAGATAAAATGATGGTGATTGAAACTGACTTTTTACTGTGTCTTGATGTCTGCCCAAGACACTGGCATACGGAGCTCTGCAATCAGGTGTGACCCGGTGACATTAGTCTTTAGGACCCAGCAGATTATGTGACACGTCATGTGTGAAGTTCTAGGGACCAGAAATTATTATGCTTGGTTAAGTAAGTGCTAATGCTTGGTGATTAAAATGTAAAGATAAAGTGTTTAATAATGGAAAGTATTTTACCCTTATTTTAAATACTCTAAAAGACCAATGGCGGCTTCAGTGTTCAATTGTTCTATGCTGTACTTTAAGGGAGGTAAGTAATTCTTGCCTTTTTCAAAGCTACTGTTTTTTCATAATAATTTCAGTTTCTAGTTTAGAATAAAGTGCCTATTGAGAAATGTCTGTCTCAGAGTTGTGTGCAAGGAGAGGTGACAGATCTGTTTCCTTTAGGCAGCAGCTTCTTGTCCTTGTGTTGTAAGGTGAGTGTGGTGATTTTCTGAGTTTGTAGGAAAAAAGAAGCTGAGTCAGAGAGAAGGAAGTATGGATGGCATTGAAGCACAAGAGGAAATTGACAATAATGAGATTTTTGAATTATTTGCAATACTATTAATAAACACATATTAAGGGAGATTGTAATTTATTTAAATGGAGATGGGAAGAAATCAAAGGTTATTTTCGGACAGTGGTAGTTCTGCTCCTGTGCCCATTAGCCAGCTCTCAGCAGCTGCCTCGCAGTATGCTAGGCCTTGGGAGCTGCTTAGCAGAGTACCTGGCTTTTCCATTAACCAGAGACAAATACATGAGTGAATTGCCATCATTGCATGACTGTAAGTGACTGTGGTGATGTGCATTGGAAAGGGCAGCAGACACTTTCTAGGAGGCTGTAAGCTGCAGAAATGCAGCAGTCAGCAGCTTCTACTAGCACTGCACCCAAAGAATTGGAAGTTTCTTCAGGTTAGTGAACAATGCTGGGCATGGGGTGTGACTCCTGCAGTTCCAGCATCACCGCTGTGGAAGGGCTTTTTTGGAAGCTAGATGAGGTTTGAGAGATTCTTCAGAGCTTTTGTAGTCAAAGGTTCACCAAGGGAAACCATGGACTCTCAAAGATTCTGATAGTGTGCGTGGCCATTTGAGCAAGGAATAGTCAGAAACTGTTTTCCTGCCGTCTGTGTGAGCATGACCTGTTTCCACATCCTTGAAAGGAGTCAAGCTTCCATTTTTCTGGTAACATCATTGAAAAGTGTTATTTCTATGACTTCAGTAATGCAACTCCTAAATATAGTTAACAGGGTTTTCTCTTTTGTTTCTTTCCTAGATGTGGAAGTTCACACAGGACCGCTGGGTTGTACGAAAGGAAGTGGCGACAGTTACAAAAGTGAGTGACTTCTTCCTAACACAGAGGTTGGTGCTAACTGTGGGCATTGTCTGCAGGTCAGTAAGAGGTGCTGCTGCAAGCCTTTTCTTTCAGGTTCACAGTGTCTGCATTACTGCTGACTTGCAGTGTTGCTAGCCAAGGCATATCTTCACTTTGGAACAGGTATAGATTCTCTTTACAGAATTATTTCAAGCAGCTCCCACAATTACAGTTCCACAGGACATGACTGTCCTTGCAGCTGAGCCACTGGAATGTATCTTTGTCCCCTCTTCTGTTTTGGTGGAAAGCTGAACATCCTTTGAATTAAGCTTACAAAGCACCGAAGTAGATGAGAACTCGTGCAGTCCACACTGATACTCCGCTTTTGCAGAGTGCATTACAGAAGCACAACACTTCTGATGGCATTTGCCAAAGCTGCCAGTATTGAATAAAAGCCTTAAAACAACTCAGGCACATGAATATTCTGTCAGAAGGAAAAAAATTATTTGTTTAAAACAAAATAAAATGATAGAGCACAAATCAGTTGATGTACAGACTGGCTACTTTTGGAATTTAAGATCCAGTGCTGTTCAAAAGCCATGCACGTGTAGGTGCAGCATGTCTGACTTGGAGCTCTGAACTAAGAAGAAAGTTGTAGGACATGCTTCTGTGCACAATAGTCTTTTCATCTCAGTTAGTAAATTCCCTTTTCTTTACAAAACATGTCATGAGCTATTTGACTCTCAGCTGATCAATCACTGCGCTCTGACGTGCTCTGCCTTTAACATTGTGTGAAAGAGCTGGTGTTGCAAAGGATAAATATCTGAGTGACTTAGGCATGTGTTTGTGGGAGTGCCCCATGTACGCCAAATCGGTCCTGCTCATCCTGTCGCGTGGAACAGTGTTCATTGCTTCATGGCTGCAGATGCCCTATATGAATTGACATCCATATCATTTTCCTTTTTCTTTTAGCTTTGCCCTGAAGATGTGAAAGACTTCCTAGAGCACATGTCTGTGGCAAGAATAAACAAAGGTTGGGAGTTCATGCTCCCTTATGATGAAGACTTTGTTAAGAAGCATCCAGATATAGTTCAGAGGCAACGTATGCTGTGGATGGGCATTCAGGCCAAGTAAATGACTTGCTTTATTTTGGGGAGTAAGCTAAAAATGAAGAATGATCTAGTGTGAAGTTTCTGTATTTGATCCATATTGCCTGTAAGGTTTACTTCTCTCAGGGGGTGTGGTTGTATGGGGATTGTGTTGATGCATCATTCAAGTCACACCTTTTCTTTGGCTTCCTGAGGACAGCTTTCTAGAAATTAAATATTCTGGCTGAAAGTTAAAGCTGGTGTGGCTGCAGGCAAGCATAACAACAGAAACAGTACTGGTATGATTTCCTTTGTATTTCAGATTAGAAAAAGTCTATAATCTTGTAAAGGAACACTTGACACCAAAGAAACAAGAGTCACAATCAGGTAAATGAAATTGTTTGGATCACCTTGAAACACATGCATCTCTGTATTTCTGGGTGATATTTTGTTGTTTCTCACTGTTTTTGAGTGTGGTGGGTATTGGTCTTGCATTTGATATTACCCCTTTCTTGTAATTTCTTCTGCATTATTTAAGATAACTTGGTCTTTACTAACATCAGTGATGTTAGTGGTGACACAAGCTTACTGTGGCGGAGCATGGAAGGACTCCTTGGCACTGGGGACTCTATTTGATAGTGTAAAATCAGCTGGATATGTTAACAACTTCCTCATTTAAGGTGTAGTGGTGTAAGCAGCTGCTGAATTGAGGACAGGGACAGAGCATGAGTGATTCTTACCTCTCGGTTCTCAGGCTGACATGCATGAGGTTGAGTCATTCCCTTTTCAGTTCCAAATAAAACGGTGGGATTTTTTATTTCCTCTGATTTGCTGTGGGCTCTGTGGTGTGGTTGAGGGCTAAACAATTAATGAGGAAAGTATTTGCTGGGGGAGCTGCAAGGAGGTGTGAAGTTGTCTCTTTGCCATTCCTCTCCACCACGGATGTCAGAAAGAATATTAAAGTAGCTGTTCTATAATCCTAAAAGGTTGTGAAAACCTGAGATTCCGGAGAGCTTTAGCTAGGCATTTGGCTCACTGCCAGACTCTGGAGCCACTGAGGAGAATAAGCAGAACTGACAAATGTGCGTATAATTCCATTTCAATACCGTGTGTTTGATCTGCTTGGGAGGATTAGGTGTGGGTTATTCGGAGAGAATTAGTGGGCCTGGTAGTAAAGAAGGTAACAGCATGAGTGCTGTGTGGGCTTTTGCCTTAAATGCAGCATTCCTTCCAACGGGATTGAGACTGATTTCTCTTTTGCCAACACACACTTCCCTTTTGCCTTTGGGTTGAGGTGCAGGATTGCATGGGAAAGGATTCCCTTCTGCCCCTTTCTCCCCAACACTGAGTAATAGTACTTAGAAGAGTCCCAGATTTCCATACTGTGCAGCTCATGCACAGCCCTAGCTGTTGGAGAAATGCAGTGTCTTTGCTTCAGGTTCCTTGACTGGAAGACCTTTCCACAAGCACCTGGCTTACAATTATCAACATGCTTAATTGGTTGTTTGTTGTTTTTTGTTGTTTTTTTTTAAGTTATAGTAGCAGGGAGGGAAGTAAAATCTAATCAGTAAGCCAGGTTTATTCCTTAGGTTCCACAAGTAATGTTGTTTCCTGGCTTTATTTCACTGTGAGCAATTCAAGCAACATTCTGCAAAACTGGAGTCTTGTTTATGGTGGGATTTTATGCTACGCTTCATTTCTTATCAGGCCATCCATTGCTGGTTTCTGGGGAGCAAAGAGTCAACATGGCAAAAGCAAAAGTCAAGCAGAATTATGGGCAGCTAGAGAAGGAGTTCCAGAAGCAAAAGGCGGAACTGAAATCAAATGACACTTCATCCAAGATAGACGTTTCCAATATCCACATTAAAGAGGAGCCTGTGAGTGATGAGGAGCCCATGGACACCTCGGTGTATGAAGGCCTGAACAACGGCATCGTCAACGGCCTCCACGCAGAGGAGGACTCCACAGACTCCCTAAATGGCCACTTGCCTGGAGGCTGCAGCGATCGGGTAGCCCAAGAACTGAAGGCATTTGTGTCCTCAACGTTTAAGAAACAATTTGTGCTCACCTTGAGTGAGCTTAAACGGTTGTTTAACCTTCATTTAGCCAGTCTGCCTCCAGGACATATATTGTTCAGTGGCATTTCAGACAAAATGTTACAGGACATGGTGTTAGACATTGGCTGCAAACAGATTTTGGTGCCTGTAAGTATTTTTTTTCCTTTTGGCACAGTCTGGGTGGGAGGTAGGGGGGCAGTTAAATATCGGAGCTGTGAAATGTTTACACCTTGGGCTGGACTGGAGGAACATTTGTGTTCTGAGTGTTTGGGCTTTTGAAGCTGCTGAAGGCTTGTCTGCCTTCCTGCTTCTGGCTGGCCCTGTGATCTGCTTTTTGCCCTTGTGGTGTGCTCAAAGTTGTCCTTGGAGCTGCTTTTCCACCTCTGGGCTGTTGGGCTGCAGGGACTCATTGTGCTTGCTTGCTCCTGTTCCAGTGACTTACCCTGGGGCAGTCCCACCAGCTTGCTTTGCAGTGTGCAGCTCCTTGCAGGAATGCTGCTGGGATAAAGACGATGGCTGCTGCCTGGAACCGGTGTGGCACACCCAGCAGAGCTCTCTGGGAAGCAGCAAACCATATCTGCAGAGTTCTGTTGGTCACTCCTTTTCCTCCTGGGCTGATCAGAGATGTCTTCATTTGTCTTTATGGAAATTATATGTGTGAATGCGTGAGTCAGAGCCAGCAGATTGCTTAAGAAAGAAAAGGGATTTTGGCATCATGGAAAGTAGCCCAAAAGGAAAATAATTTCACAAGACATCTGGTGCTGATCGGTTTGCAACCAGCAGGAGTTTGAGAGTCAGGTGCTGTTAGAGGGAGAGGCAAAGAGACGTGTGAGCTGCTTGGGAGAGCAGAGAGCAGGCAGGCTGGGGAGAGTCTGGAGCACAGGAGGTGTAGCGATAGTCATGCCTTAGCTGGGCTTCAGGGAGCTTATTTCAGGAAATAACGTGTTCAGTGGTGTGCAAAGTACGTCCTGTGGCACCTGGAGCCGAGTGACAGATGTGAGATGCCACACAGGAGGCCACTGCTTTTTGTGCTCTTTGCTTTCTCTCCTGACAGCTTCCAGTCCCTGAGAAATGTTTGCCTGGAGCTGCTGCTTTGTGGTGGAAATACTCTCGTTGTATGTGGTGTAGAATATGCATTTGCCATGCTGGTGGTAAATAGCTGAAGTCACTGCTGTTGTATTAATTGAGTCTGGGACTTGTTTGCTGGAGACTGCTGTATGTTTGAGTTCTGCTGATCTGGAACTTACTGCAGAATTTGATATCTTCTGCAGCAGCCTGCATAAGCCTGTCAGAAATGTAAGTCAGCTCCCAGGCCTGTGCCTCATGCTGTGGGCCAGCTGTGCCTTTTGTGTGAGCTCGTACACTTCACTTTCTCTCATTGTTTTTTCTGGACAATTTTATTTGAACCCAGTGAAGCTGCCTGAGCTCCTTGGAACCCTGGAGGGATGTTTTGCCTGAGATTTCATAGTTACTCATTAGTTTTCTGTAATTGAAACTGCTTTGGTGATAAAAATCAATGATCTGAAGTAATTAAAGTGATGTTCTATGGGGGGTGAAGACACTCTTGGCTTTCACGTTCCCCTGTTACAGAAAATGTGTTGCTGAAAACAGCAGTGAAAACCTTACTGGTGGAGCATAGATTTATAAAGCTGAGCAGCTGCATCTGGGGTAGCAGATAAATGGTGCTCATGGGGCTTCAGAAGGTGCTCCAGCTGTGAACAGGGGCTGCCTGCAGGGTGCTGTGCTTTGCTTGTGCTTTGTAGCAGTGTAGTAGTGAGCAGGGTGCCTGGCAGTTTTCAGAGTGATGTGAATGCAGGGAGCCTCTCTGTGCTCTCCCAAATAACACTGTGTTGGTTTGGAAGCAGTTCCCTCTCTGAGAGCCAGCAGTGCAGCTGTGCTCAGCATGTGGCCAAGGCAGCAGCAAGTGCTCAGGTCTGTCCCAAGCAAACTCACTGGGGCTCTGCTCCTGCAGCCCTGTGTTGCCTGTCCTGCTGCAGCTTGTCAGGAAAGAGGCTGATGCTTTGGTGTTATCTGTGCTGAATGAAAGCTCAGGAGAGTGTTCCTCTGTGTGTGGCATGTCCTCATGAGAAGAGGAGCATATTGGGTGTCGCCAGCCCAACAAACCTGAATCCTGGCTCTAAAGCAGGTGCACAGCCCTGCTATATATCAGCAGTTTGCACCACGGTGGAACTGAAGCTGCCGATTCCAGCAGGCAGCTCCTGCTGGACACAGCGCTTCCCTTTGCTGCGAGATCAGAGGCAGCCCCTGAAAGGAAGGGCTGAGCCCTTTGCAGTGCAGTCCTTCGGTGTAGTGCGGAAGGCTGGGAAAAAAGGTGGGAGGTGTACTGCAGTGAGGAACTGCAGCAGTCAGACAGGCCTCTTGGCTTTGTGTGGAGGATTGATTGAGGTTGGCAGGTCGGTGGTTAGCATGGAATGAATGGTCGGTGACAGGAAGGCACACATCAGGAGGGGGAAGTATCCAGCATAACTTGTTAGTCGTTGCTCCAGGGGAAAGCATTAAGGCAAATGGACATCATTTTATTTTTGTAGGAGTTTGGAACAGTTACATTCCTTCCTGCATGCAGAGGCACAAAGCCTCTGTCTCGGAAAGTACAAATGGTGTTCCTCTAGCATGGATCTTGTAGGAACAAAAACTGCTTCAGTTTGGGAGCCTGAAATGTGCTGGTGTGTGGTTGCTCTCCATCAGTGTTCAGTCTCCAGGAGTCCCATGGGCTGCTCCAGGGATCACACGCACAGCAGCAGCACTGTGCTGGTCAGTCATGCTGCCTTGGGTGTAGCAAAGCAGATTCGGTTAGAATTGAAATATCTAAAACTTGCCACTGGAGACTTCAAAACATCCAGAAAACCCTGCAGTGCGCTTCATGCTTAATTGAATTCTGCTTTGGGAAGTCTGGAGACACAAGCTGCAGGCAGGAACAGTCCGTACATTGTGCCATGAGATACTGTCCACAGTCCACATCCTGAGATTATTGTGGCACTTGGTGGTTGTCCTCCCTTCCTCCAAGTCCCCATACAATGTCATGGGATCCCCTTGTACAGCTCTGACGTGGTTGGTGCTGTGCCCGTGGCACTGCTTGCCATCACTCCAGTGTGACCAGAAGCATCATTAAAATGTTGTTGGGCATGCCATGTGTGCATCAGGTTGCTGGAGCAGTGGTCCCATTCCCCAGGCAATATTTACCCCTCACTCAGGGTCTGGGTGCTGCAGCATCACCCAGAAGAGCAGGTTTGGTGGGGTTTGTGTTTCTAATGCAGGCACGGGGGCTGCTGCAGCACAGTCACCTTCCTGAGCGTGGGGTGGGAGAGAAGCACTTCTCATTAAGTGGCCACAACATTTTGATTCAGTAATAGGTGTCAGGGGAAACTGTATCATAGAATCATTAAGTAGAACTCATTAAATAGATAGTTATTTTTAACAGCCTCTTGTTCTCAGTTTCCTCCACAGACTGCTGCTTCACCAGATGAGCTAAAGGTTTATGCACTTTGGGAAGCCGGTGACATTTATGATCAGGTAAAGACAAAAATAAGTGACAGTCCCAAATACGCTGTTAGTGAGGATTTGGCATTGCTTCACTTTGTGTTTCTGGAAGCAGTACAGCAGTTTTTCACCGTTCTCTAAGGAAGACTCCAGGTTTCAGTACCAGCCAGCTTCAGGCTGAGAGAAAGCTCTCAGACCATAGGGTGGTTATACCACATCAGGACCAGGTGGTGTGAACAGAAACTGAGACATTGGCAACTAACTCAGTGGGGTGTAAATACTATCAATTGTATGAAGAGAAAGGATTCTGCAATGCAGATCTTCGGTTGGGATCCAGTCAAATCATTTTTCTTTTTTTGCTAATGGTAATGCAGTGGAAATGCAATGTTAACCAGTGGTTATATGATGATGGGACCTGGTGTGTCTCTTTATATTTAGAACAGGAAATGATTACAGCATATGTGAGTATCTCCTCAGTTTTATTTGTATCGCAGTAAGTGAAGTGGAAGGAAAGGCAGCCTAACAGAATGTAGATGGACAATGCAAGTGCTGTGTCTGTGACCTAAATGAATGTTTATAGGAAAGTCTTAAGCATTGTTCTAGAGAATAAGCAGCATCCGATCTCCTGGCTGGAGCAGACCACGTGAGCTGCCTGGGAAGTGTGTGAGAGAAATGTGTCATAGCCCCTTCTTTAGTATGGTCTGTACCTGTGGAGGTGCCTGGGGTCACAGGATCAGGATGGGGCAGATGTGCTCATGAGGTATGGAGAGATCCCTGCAGAGCTGCGAGATAATGGGAGGACACATAATGAGAGCAGGTTGAAATGGGACAGTTTCAGGGTTTTGAAGCAATACTCTAATGCAGCTCAGTGAATGTTTTGTACAGGCTAATGCACATATAGCTTTTTTTTTATAGAAAGCTAAAAGTAACTGTTTTTGTATTAATAATTCTTGTTCTAAAGCATCGCCAAGTTTTGCTTGAAATTTTTTCGAAAAATTATCGAGTGCGCAGAAATGTCATTCAGAATCAGCTGAGTCAAGACCTCAACAAGCAGGAGGTGGATAGAGTGCTAAAGGTAAGTTTCTGCTCAGTTGGGGTTTTGATTCAGTTAATGCATGAATTTTTAACGCTTTGGTTTAACTGAAGGATCATGTATTGCCTTGAGTTGACAAGTGATCGTGATCGTAGAGCAGTTGCTGTGGGAAAACAGGCAGGGCTTGTTTTCCAGCCTGTTTTCTTTAAAGTAACACTCGTCTCATTCTACCTTGTTTCTCTCCAAAGCAGTGATTTTTACTTCCCTGTTATTTGGTGTTATTGCAGCAAATCTTTGTTCTTCATCTTGGACCAGAAAGGAATAGAGCACAGTAAATGTCACACTTCAGAGTTATTTTTAAATAATATGGAGTTAAGCATTAAGGCAGTGGGAGCGTTCTGAGTTTACTGAGCTGCCTGCTGTTGTTTCATGCTGAAGAACAGGTGCCACATGTTCAGAGGGAAATGCATTATATTCTATAGTAGGACTTAAAGCAGTGTAGTGAGCAAAACCCCAACTAAAACAAGCATAGAGTCCTACTTAGCACATCTCATAGTGAATGTTTGAATCCTTTCATCTCTGTCTTTGAAGATGAACCATTTACTTTCTAAACAAGTTTGAGGTATGAAGTACCAACCACGCAGGTTGTGATTGACAAAGGAGAAAGCTGCCAGCTCATGTAGTACTTCAATCACTGTTGCTGAGCCTTTGCTCACCATCACCCACTTCAATGAGACAAGTGCTTAAGTACTTTATTACTCTGGGATCTGTAAGCAGAATAATAACCTACTTGAAAAATTACACATCTGTTGCAGTGACGGTAAGCAAACTGGTTTTGCTTGAATGAACCTGGTCTTAGTATGAAAATAAACTGAGACGTTTCTGCCTCCTATGCAGTGTTTGGTTTGGCTTGCCTGTGCTAGGAGGTTTGTCAGGCTCACATCGCAGCTCTCTGGGGATGTCTAGATAATGCACTGGCATTCGTTTGCACATTATTGTTGATGTTTAATAAATCATTTCTGGGGAACAAAGAATCGTTGTCCCTTGCAAACCAGGTCCTACTTTTGTAAAATCTAAGTCATTCCGCAGTCAGCCTTGTGGCCTTGTGTTGTGTCAGATTTTGTCTTGAATGTATTTGTCACAGAAGCATGTGAAACTTTCATTGTTTCTGAAGTAAATGTTGAAAGTATGATTTAATGAAGTAGGAGGATTATCTGGCTTCTTTAAACCATGAGAGATTTGATTCCACTTTGAATGAAATAGCATTTATTGACACTTATTTCCCCATCTGCATGTGTTCCTGTCCTGTACAGGAAAGAACAGACTGACAGGGAATGTATTTTTGCATCTGCAGATCCAGAATGAAAACTCTCTTTTGAGGCTCTGCACTTAATTTCTTTGTAGAGCAATAAGTCCCAAGAGTTAAGAAGTGATAGTTATTGATACTTTTTTTTTCTCTTTTTAGTTCCACAACATCAGTTCTGTAGCAGTGTTTAAGCTCCTGTTGAGTTACCTAAGTGGGAAGGTTGGAGCTAAAGGAGCTGTTAGGCTTAGAATTCATGAGACTTGGTGTTCACTGAATAGAAATAAGAAAAGGAACCACAGACTGAACTCCTTTGCTGTGGAGCTTGCAGCTGTGAGTGTAGCAGACACGGTCAGAATACCTGAGTACAGTTCTGAGGTTTGACCCTTCCTTGCCACAGAACCCTGATGAAAAGGCTCCAGCTTGGGGCTGCCTGCGTGCTTCCTCTGTTCCCTTCTGTTCACGTCTTCCCTTCTCTTCACGTCTGTAGTTCTTTTGGCTCTCACCTCTTTTCCTGTCCTAACCTGCTTCACCATTCTTCCCATCTCCTCCTCCCAGAAACCTTGGTTTCCTGCCACCATCCCATTGTGTATCCTCCCTGTGCTCTCAGCCTTTCCCCTCTGTCTGCTGTGTTAAGCTTCAGGGCAGAGAGAACCTGCTGCTCTGGCTCTCATTGTACACAGGAGGGATGTTCTGGTCACACTGAAGGTTGCAAAGCCGAATCATGGTTCCAGCAGGGCTCACCTCGTAGTGTGTGATCCCTGCGGTTTGGAAACGCGGGGCGGTGCTGCAGGCACTGATGGGCTCTCCCTTTCTCCCCAGGACTGCTGTGTGAGCTATGGTGGAATGTGGTATCTTAAAGGGACTGTGCAGTCTTGACGGCAGCTGTGGCGGTTTCTGTGCTTCAAATGCTCTCCTGGATGAAAGAGGAAACCTGCGGTGGGCGGCACAGACAGTAATGCTGTGGCCTCAGGAGTGTGGGGCAGGAGCTGACCTACTTTGGGGCATGTGGCATTGCAGACAGTCACTGACATCACAGCACACTCACACATATGTTTGCATGGCCGCCTGGGTGCAGAGAGCAACTAGGAAGACAACACGGGACCCTGTCTGCAGTTTGATTAGTCTGGGATTTCTAATGTATTTTGCTTCTCCTTCTCTTTCCTTATAGTAAAATAAAAACCATATACTGACACAGACATGATGGAAAATCATGGTCTAATATTTTATTTTGTAAGTAAGTGATGCCAATAAATTAAATTTGTTTACAAACATCCCAGGTTTTGTTAAATACCTAGATGCTCATGCATTAGTCTGAGCATTACAACAGCCCTTCCTTACAACAAGGGTAGTGATGTTCATGGGCACATCAGGGCAGGGAGGGGGGGATACAAAATCACTGTCTTTAAACATTGTATGACATAGCAACTGTTCTCACCTGGTGTCTGTAAAATGAACTGTCTGAAAAAGTACTTACACTTGAAATAGATGTGGAACAACTACTGGATGTCTTATTGATGTGGGTTTTGGTTGATGGAGTTTTTGCCTTACTGTGTGCAAAGGTAAGTGCACCATGTCCAAGGCATCCAGCTGCAGTTATCACACTTGGCAACAATGTAAAACCTCTATTTTGTGTAACTTTTTTAAAAATAAAATTTTATCTTGAAGGTCAGCTGTGGCATCCTGCTGTACTCTGCCTCGTATTTGCCCAGGAAGAAATGGAAATGATCTTTGCTCCTTTTTGAGCCCAAAGGCTTACAGAGGAAGGAAAGGTAAAGAATATTTGCAGATGTTTGAGGTAGATGACAGACTGCCTCTTGACTTGCTGTACTTTTCTACTTGCATCACATTTTTTAGGACAGTTGTCAAGCTGCAGCCTGTTGCTCAAGAAATGATAACTGAGCTGCTTCTGTTCTATGTTTGTCACTCAAGCTTCACAGCAGTGAGGTAAGGAACACCCCACTGGCAGCTTTAGAGCAGTTACTGTTCATGGGTTTTGTTTTCTGTAATTTCCATCATATGAGAAGCTCAAGTAGATTCTATTAATTTCATCTACTTATGCTTAGAAAGGGCTAGGTTTTTTTTTGTTTTTTTTGGTTTTTTTTTACTAAAACAAGCAGATTAAGATTGGCCTAAGAGTAGCGTGCCATACTTAGAGCATTTTGAACTTCTGTGGAAAGTACTTATTTCTAAACTGCTAAAACTCTACCTTAACTCATACACTGAGTTTATTCACTACTGTAATCAGGCAGTGTTCAAGTTCAGGCAGCTTTTGCAACCTTTGTGCTGGGTGTCCCCATTGCTGTCGCTTACCTAGCATGACCCTGTTGCTGTAGCATTGCCTACAGCTGTGTCCATAAAGCTTATCCCTGAGAAAGCCACAGTCTGAGAGAGGTTATAAAACAGCAGAGCCTTGAAGGTTTTTATTACAGGGTATGTACAGTTAAGTGTTAAAGCACACTACAGTACAGCCAGAGCTTAACAATGGCACAGGTGGTCAAAGGCAGGTTATGCTACAGAAGATTTCTGTGGAAATCTGAGAACATTCTGGATATTTTAAAGGGTAAAAAATACATAGAAAGTGCCCTGTTAACCAACAGTATTAAACCACTGAAGATCACATATTTAATAAGAAATTCTAAAGTTGTTTCTACACAACTTCTGGTCCCACGGGTGTGGATCCCCCACTCCCCAAAGTGAATAGCATTAGTAATAGAGTGCTTGTGACAGCCAGAACACTTATCTAAAGTTACTGCTTTGCAGTAGAAAGCCTTTAGATAATGACAATCCAATTGCTAGGGAAGCAGTGACAATGGCAGAACAGCAGCTCTCCTGCCTTCCCACCCCTCCAACACCCTTTTTGGAACAACACTGACAAACACCACAAGAGAGAAACAAGAAACTACTTCATTGCCTCTGGCCTTCTAGCACAGACAGGCCTATTCTTTTCTACTTAGTGTAACTTTTTTAGAATAAAAATTTAATGGGAACTCCATCTGAGCTATGTAGTATAGACCAGATAATGCAGCTGCCATCTGCACAGTTTACTGTTTCAAGATAAGCACAGATAGGCATAATTACTAGTTACACGTGGAGCTTGACTGGCTTATTTATTTGCTTAGAAAAATATTTACAACATTCGGATTCCCATTTTTAAATAGTTCTTAAGAATGCAATACATATTTTTGAGAAATTCCCACAATATGGAGTCTTAATACTGCAAATGAAGGACAACTATACACAAGCTTAACAGGATAAATAAGGCAGACAACTGTAATAGCAGCAGTTGAACTAAAGCTGAGAAATTGTCAACACTCTTCCAGCTGTTTGGTATATTGCAGCAACTCAGACAGGCAATAAGGAAGTTCCCAAGAAGAGCTAACCAAATTAAGCTATGAGACCCTGTGTAAGAAGGATGTCACCTTTCCTGGTGCCTTCTTTCTCCTTAATTGCTTAGCCTTTGTTTTTCATTCTTCACACTTCAAAGCAGTTCTAAAGAATGTACTTCTGCATGTTTGTTTTTCAGAATTTGAATACCTATGAGCTATTATTAGGGAGTGGAGAAGGAAAGTATGAACAGGAACACAGCCCCACATTTTCAGTAGGATATGTTCCAGCAGTCTTGCATCCAGCCTCCCACCACCCCATAGGCAGCATGGAACAGATTCACTGAAGCTGATAGTGGAAGCAATAGGCAAACCTGTAAGATAAGGCTTTACCTGACCCATCTCCTTCAAGTGCTTGGAGTTTGTGGTATGTGAGCTTAAACGCTATCTCACTGTATCAATTCTACTGCTAAAGTTAAATGACTAAATTGCAACTTTGTCTTGCCAAATACACACTAGTAGGTACTTTGTTGGCCTCCCATAAAAAAAAAAAACAAAAACAGTTCCAAATAACATATAATCAATTCACAGTACCTCACCATAAGACAAAGTCCCTAATTAAGAAACCATACCTAAATAGTCACACAAACTACTTGTCAAATTCTTTCTCAGTACAAAGACATCTATACTTATCCATAGAAGAGCCTAGTTCATGTGAAAACATGGCATTAACTTTACCAAGCACAGCACAAGCTGCTATGCTAGCTCTCCACCTCCATGCCAAAGCAAATTCAGCTAGATTCACTAACTTCATTCTCAGGACTCGAGGAGAGGCTGCCTGTGATACTGACCTGGGGTTTTTTGGTTTTTTGTTTGTTTGTTTTTATAGTTACAGGGTTAGATGATCACATGCAAATTAAAGAAAAGCTTTTGCCTAGTTCTTTGTGAGAAGTAGTGTACAGATTTCTTAGCTCTGTTAATTTGAAGTGGACTAGGAAAACTATGGTCAGTTTCTGCCAGAAATCAAGTGTACTAAGTAGCATTGTAGTATTAAGCTACAATGTTTGTTTCCCTTACAACCACTAGTTCATGTGACAGTGCTAAACATTACATCTATTGCTACGTAGGTACAGGGACACTGCTAGTCTAACTAGCTTTTTAACTACGTGTCTATGAGCCAATTGAAAACATTCCTTTTGAGTGCTAAAAGAAACATCTGTGCAAGGGGTCTTCTGACATTTGTATAAAGTTTTTCCCCCTTTCTGGACAACAAATTAGTCACCCCAACAACAAATCAGTCATCAGAACATCTAACATTATGGCTGAGAAGAAAGGGACTTGTACTTAGATCTGTGCTCATCTATTTCTTCCTTTGTTTTTTTGATACAGCTAAAGATTTCCTTGAAGAGTGCTTTATATTCAGGAAGAGTATTTGTGGAGCTAAGTGATTCTCCTGCATTCATGAATTCTTGATTGTTAGCTGAAAGATCATACTGGGTATTTCCCACACTGTCTTTAGAATACTGCTTCAGTGTTTGTACAGCCTTGTGTTTCAAAGAATCTTCATCCATTTGACACTTCTTCAAAAGTTCCTCATATTTCACTTTCAGAGCATTATACTGAGCATCGACTTCATTGAGTACAGAGATTCCCCGTTGCTTCACAGCTTCAGCCCTCCTGATGCACGTTTCTTCATGGCCCCTTAGAATGTCTCCCCCTGCAGCACTACTCAGGAAATTTTCACTACTGCTCCGCTTCAATGCCTTTTTCTCAAGTTCAGGGACAGTCAGAAGCCCATCATCAGCTGGGCTCTGACCAAGCTCCCTTTCTAAAGATTCTTTAAATGAAATGAAAAAGGATTCTGGCACCAATTTCTCTGCATTGTGGAGTGTGTTTTCAGATTGAAGCATCTGTCGCATTTCAGCTACTTCCACTTCTAACTCCTCTGCACGAGCCCGATACAAGTCAATATCAACAAGCCTCTGTTCAAGGTCGCAGTTTTCTTTCACCACAAGACTATATTCCTCTTCCATTGTTACCCTCTTCTCTTTTTCTAGGTTTAGTTGGGCTTGCAGAACCGTAACTGCCTTCTTCAAGTTCTCATTTTCTTCTTCCAGAGGATTTAGCTGACTATCCATTGAAGTAATCTTTTCTGCAAACACGTGATCATAAACAAAATACCTGAGGAAACAGAAGTGAGGATTATTAATAGGAAATACAGCTGACCACACTTAAAGTTTTCTGTCATTGGTAACTAATGACAGTTTAAACTATGTTAACATATCTGAAAGCATACATAGCAGTCATTTTGCCAACCTAACAGTTCAGATGATAATCATGATTGGAATCTGTAGATACTTCACATGCCATCAAGCCTCTCAGCTCAAGCAGGATGGCAGATTTTTTAACAATCTCAAATTACAGATAAGTTTACTGAATAACGAGATCTATAATTTCAGTTTTAAAGAATATTGCTTTCACATATTATGTGATACACCCTGACCTTCATATTTGTACCACATCCCTCACAACTTGTTTGTTTCCACAATCAGTGGTGATACTTCAGAATGGACAAGGCAGTTCTGCAGAGTGGTGATTCCGCAAACCTCTCGCAGTTTGAAATAATCCATTTATCTTTTGAATTGTCACCACGTAATTCCTTGCTTGCATAGATTAATTCCTCAGTCTTACTTGCATATACTGCTGGAAGCCCAGACACAAATCCCATTCTCCCTGTTTGCAGAAGTACTTCACTTCTTCTATTAGCTTCTAGCAGCAAAGACAGACTGGGACCATACCCCAGGTGATTCCTGATGAGCATACAATGCAGTTCAGCTGGGTAGAACTGCTCTAAATTAGAAAGCAGCCCAAAGCTTGAGGCACCGTTTTTACCAGCTTAAGCATTGTTTTATCCAGCTTAAATTCAAAGCTACTACAGCAAGCCCACCTTGAAAAGAAGGTGCCTACAGACGTCCCAGGAAAAAGTAAGTTACAGAAAATATTGTTTAGGATAATTTATTTGGTAGTTATCTGTGTTTGTGCTTTATCTGACTGAAAAGAGGGAGGTTTGCATTCTTGAAGGCTTTCTAGGCTACAGTTTCATACAGCTGGAGACTTTGTGGGAGAACCTGTTAAGATATTAAGTAGAACATACTGTTGTTCTCCCACAAAGATCAATACAGTCTGCAGCCAGAGCACACCAGAAGCAACACCACCACCACACACTGCACAACTGTACAGATATTTTTCTAGTTGCAAACTTAAAATGCTTTTCTGCTACTCTGTTAAACACCCATGCTTGTATCTGGTTTTTGAAACTTTGCTTAAAATAATTTTAATATTCTGTTTGTTATGCAAGGTAAGAGTCTTACTGGCGAAGGTCATACAGCTCCTTCAAACACGAGAAGCTGTGCATTGATCTTGGCTGGTCAGATCTCTCATGGTTCATCCGGCCTCGTCCAGACTTTTTCAGTTCTTCTACTTGCCTTTGCAGGTCATCTATGTGTGTCTGCAGATTTTCAATAGTCTCTGTCAAGCTAAAAGGGAAGGATTAATGTTAAAACATTTGACTTTTTAATCAAGGACAAATTAGGTCCCATCCCCTCACATTCCAGATCCTCTTCTGAAGATTGCTCTTCAGCCACAAACACTTTAAATAAATCTTTCAGTTTAAGAGTCACCAAAAGGTGCGTGTATACGCTCGGATTACTGGTTTTTGTATTATCAGTTGAGTAGAGGGGAGAAAAGAGGATGTAGCTTAGGTTTGTTACCTTAGTATCTTTTGTTGTGATGCTCTGCTCTCTGCAACTAGTTTTTGATTAGTGTCTTCTAGTTCTCTTGCTGTCACATCCAACTGCTCATAAACTTTTGCATGTTGATCATTCATTTGACGCAAGAGCTCCACTTGCTTTGTGAGATACTGCAAGACAGCACTGCTGTTACAAGTTTATATTAGAAACATAGGATAGGGCTACTATGCTGCAGTTTTGTTCACATTCATTAAATAACTCCTATGTTTTTGAAATGCATAGGTTCCAGTGGTTTCTTTGGTTACTACTCAGTTGAAAAGGTGTAATCAGTATCTTAGCTACCTCTCTCGCCTTTGTCACTGAGGTCAGTGAAGGCTGATCAACCAGTCCTTCATCCAGATGACTTGGGTTGTTTTGTGCAAACTGTGTTTATCTGTTCAGCTATCCTTGCTGCAGTTAAACTACTGCCAGTTCTACCACAAACCCATCCGGATTGGGTTTGTCTGTACTGCAGTCACCACACAAACCTGGATTTCAACACAGTTCTTCACAGAGTCCTTCTAAAAGTTGCAGTGAAAGCCATCATAATTTTTTTAATAATGTTGACCCAACAATTTTCTTAGCATTTAAACTGCAGTATTGGGTAGCACTATCTTGTTTTTTTTCTGCTTGCCTATGTTTGAATCAGCGTTAGGTTCAGCAAAACACATTTTAGGATGTGGTCACACCTGAGATTCTGAGGACTACTATGTGTCAGGAAGTAAAACCAAACTATTAGATTCAGCCTGTAATTACATACGAGGAACTATTTCAGTCATTGTAATACAGAACAAAAGTCTCCTGCACTTTTATTTTTTTTAAATACAACTCCACACAAAGTGATCTCATTTTAATTCCCTTTAGTTCTATGGTTAACAAAATAACCTGTTAAGTTTCTAGAATTATTTCAGAAAGCCTGGAATTCCCCATGCAAGAAGTTAACCATCACCTAAGACTCTCAGTACAAGTGCCTTATATTGTCCCATCTAGGTAGGACTGAGCCAGTTTCAAAAAATAAATAAAACAACAAGAATTTGTATTAAACAGACTTGAAAACAAAAAACCCAATCCCTTAACTGTTAAATACTTAGTTGTTACATAGAAGTTCATAAAATAAATTGTGTATTACCACATACTAAATGTATGAACGCCTACTGGACTTCCAAGCAGAACTACATCTCAGTACACACTGTTACATACTCCAAACTTCTAACATTCTGCTTAACCTTTTACCTCCTTAGAAGATTGATGTGTTTATATTTTAGGCAATTTAAGAACAGATTATAAGTTAATCTAAGACTAGTAACTGCTGCATAGACTTCCAGAAGATCAGCAGGATAGCAGTTGGCTGGATCCTTTTGGAGCCTGTGTGCACGTGACAGGATTTACACAGAAATAGTACATGGATTAGCTGCAGAATCTCAGCATGACCCACTCCAGATTAACTTTTCCTACTGGTCCTCTCAGAAAGAGCTAGAGAGTTCTTCATATTTTCTTCAGTAATACAGGAGTGGCTGAACACAGAAACCAAGGTTTTGGGGGGGAGAATTTGATGTCACCACTTCACAGTGGGCTTTAGTGGAAGTTTTAGCTGAATGAAGACATTACATGCTATTTTCTTCATCTTGTGTCTTCAGCATCTTCAGTTCTGGTATCAAGTTGGCCCAGTGTAACCAGGACATCAAAACAAAGTATGGCTCTGATAACACCCTAGGAGTTCACATTTGTTCATCCTGCACAACAGTTGAGTGCCTATCATGAAGTAG